TCTCTGAGCCATGTTGACACTGAGAATATCTTGCCTCACACATAGAAGCTTCGACTTGAACAAAGGGACTTTTCTTTAGAGTGAGAGGGGAATAGAGAGTGGTCATGTTGCTGACTCGGAAAACAAACATTCCGAAGGTCAGCTACACAGTACTTTTACAGACACGTGGCCATCAAAGCGAGGAATAGTGTGTTGCAACATAACATGTCCTAAAAGCCTAAATCTAGGCAACCGGTCTGCCACGTTTAAAACCCAAACGCCTAGGCCTAGGCGTCCGGTCCATGAAGTGTTAAGCAGGGGGATAAATTTACCTTACCTCACCTTAGTCAAAGAAAAAAGTACTGTAATAAAATTTCATTGTCAAAGTTTAAAGCCCAGTATGTTGCAAAATTGTAATTTGAAGAGAATCCTGTGTGTGATCTTGAGCTATCTATATGCTGTGTCAGTTGTTTATGAGCATCCAAACTACAAACAGGAGATATTCACAAGTAGACAGAATTCTTTGCTCATTTTGCTCACTAGGTGATACGCAGACTGTCAGGATAAATTTAGATGTGCTTTTCAAAACACTCTATTTACACTAATATACAACATTCTGTACTCTTAAATTATTGCCATGAAGTAGGTAGCATTAAAAGCAAGAAACAATTCAGTCACCTTTCTGTCTTCAGTTATTAAACAATGAAATGAAGTTCAATATCATGTATTGTAGTTGAGACGGAAGTCAATTAGGGAGTTTTGTCAACAGGATGGATTCAGTTACAGAAGTGCATAAAGGACTGTGAAATATTTGACAGTTTGTGCACAAACTGCTTCCACACGGGTAAAAAGGTAATGCTATCCCTGTAACAAGACCAAGACATAGAGGCCCATAGGGTTGTGTGATGTTGAGGCTCCCACATTTTCTAGAAAATCAGCTCACAGATGGCAGTGAGGTTGTCAGCCTTACGTGCTGGTTGGCCTTTTACCCCCAGGAAGATACCTGGTACTCATATCAGTTAGAGACTGAGTCGACACCCAGGGCCATAGTGTGTCTGGAAGGATTAGGTCAACTGAAAAGTCTAATGAACTCATCAGGAATCAAACCTGTGACCTTCCGGCTTGTAGCATAGTGCCTCAACGTACTATGCTACTGCATGTCATTCTTTCACAGACTGCTGAACTTAAAAGAACTTTACAAAAAACATACTGTACATGTTATATTTTAGCATCCTGTTGCACTGATTTAAGTCCATGATTTATTTAATCCGTCTTGCAGTAGTTGCTGCATGAAACTGTTCACAGTTTCTGTTTACAGTAAAATGATATCACTGCACATGGTGAACTCAATGATAAAGAAGTTGGAAGATTTATTTTTGTTGATTCAAAAAATTTATGGCCATCGATATCTTTGCAGTTGTCTTTCATAGTTCTTTTGGGGTCGATTTAAATGACTGGTTGTGTGATAGATTCTGTTCTGTTGTTCACATCGTGTCCCATCTCTACATTTTTGTATAGCAGATGAATACATTTCTCATTACACCACAATTTATAACACAAGTACACATTGGAAAAGTGAATAACAATCCTGGTATATTTTGAAGGTGCAAGGATCTCTGTTAGTGATTAAATAAATCACCACAGAGTAACTGAATTGTAGAAGCTAATCTCAGAGTAGTATTTTTTAAGCAAAACATTTTAAAAGTAATTATTTCCTGGTGGTGTAATGTTTCATATTATTTTATATGTAAAAGAATTCTGCCCTTTTATTACAAGGGTTGTGGAGTCATTGATCTAAAGCATTTCATATGCAGTGAGAAAAGACCACATTGGAGTGTTGTTGTGTGTGGCAGATGTTAGTTGCTCTCACAACATAAGTTGTTTATTTTCATTAAGAAAATAGCTTCACATGAAATGCCAATGAAAAATTTTGGAATGTTTTAGATATATGACCAATTATCCTTTTCCGATCAGGTAGGTAAAAAATATATATGAATATTTTTTTACTTTAATATCAATACTTTCATGAAATACAGATGATTTTCCAGCACCAAATTTGAAACACGTTAAGTACAAAACGTGTGATGGTTGGATGATTCAGTATTGCACCGAGTAGGCTGGCATAGCAGTAATGGTATAGACTCACATTTTGAAGGAGGTAATTTAAAACCTTGGCCAGGACACTGGCTAACCTGGCTGAGGGTGTTCGTTGTTTTACTCAGTCCCTCCAGGTATATACCAGGATAGTACCTTAGGTCGTGGTTGTTTCCTTCTAAATTCTTTTCAGTTCATCATCGTAACCTTCAATACTGTCAACTACTGACAGCATAGCAAAATACCCATAAAAAGAAATATTCAGTATTCTTATTGCTATATGTGAATACATTTTATTTGTTTTGGAAAATTTGTTACCGGCTGTAATTCAATTGGTAGCACTCCTGCTTCGTATTTGGGATGTTCTAGGTTCAAATTTTGGCTCAATCCTGATTAAGGTTTCTTGTGGTTTTACTCAGTCCTAGGTAAATGCTGGGATAGCACCTTAAATTAGGCCAAGGCCACTTCCTTCCACACCCTTTTGAATTCGTTATCTGCGCTGTATAGTCTGAGCTACTAGCATTGACATTAAATAAATTACAAATGCATAAATTAATAAATAAAATAGAAATAAGTTGTTGCCTGTGTGTTTTATGCATTACAAGATATGCTGTATTGGGTTTTCACTATATATTTTAATTTTGAAGGAGTGGGGTAATATTTGGTTACAACATTTCAGTTTACCATATCACACTGATATAAGTTTCTTTACAATATTTTAATATGAATTCTTTTTTCCCATTCTTGGTCTCTACTGCCTGTACTGAGTGAATAGGTAAGCTTGATGCCCCCTCAAATGGCATGTTGTGTGAAGACTTCTGGCAAGTCAGTGTTCATATAATCCTTTGGAATGTGTTTTATTACTGAGCTACACTTCATTTATTATGGATAGGGTGGCCATTTGTGCAGCATTACATAATATTTACTTGGTTTACATGTATGTGCTAATACAGTATAGTTTTCTTTCTTTCTAGATTTTGTCTTTTAAAATACCTAGAACTCTTTAGGAACTACAAGAAAACATTGTTATATTTATGTTAGTACCATTGGATAAATGACTATAATGGGGATGGTTTTAGTTCTGTTTCATTATATTTTGATATTTTAAGAATTGAATTGAAGAAAAAAGAAACCATGAATTTCAAGGTATTTGTCATAACTTTAAGGTATTATAAGATTACACAGCATTTATCAGTAAATGAGTCTGAAATTACAACATGACAAGTATCTTAGGTTGTGATGTATCATCATGATTAGGACTTGTATAACTGTTATAGTCACTGTAGAGTGCTTCAGATAACCATTATCATCATTGTAAAATGATTCATCTGGATACTGTTTTATCTGCCTCAAATTGAAGACTCCAAATATGTAGCTGATAATGTCTTTAATTTTCACTGAGACTGTATTAATGGGTCATGGTAGCAGGGTCAGTGAGGTGAATGGTTACAGGATGGATGACCAAGATTCAGTTATTGGTGGGGGTAGGGATTTATTTCTTTGCCACCAAGTCCACATGGATTGGGGTTCACCTGGCCTTGTCTCCAGTGGTTACTGGATGCTCTTTCCTCAGATGTAGAGTGGCCATAGGATGAAGCTAAGCACACCCATCTAGTGCTATGTCAAGAATGTGTGGAGCTTTACCTCAAATCTCCTGTATGTCTCTCATGATGTAGTGCATAGGGACAATTAATTTTGATTTATTTTCAAAATTTATAGGCTGAATTTAAAATGTTGATCATTTTCAGCCTGTTGGTATACATGTAGGTTAATATGTCATATTTCTTTGTATTAGGTTGGAAAGAGATATCATTTCCAAGAAGATACCGGTAGTAATTTGCAAAAATGTTTCAAGTGGAGTTTGACAAACTATTCTGTATGATGCACATATGAAGGGCAACCATTTTAAGTTAGGGGTTTTCATGGCTATATGGCAGTTTGGGTTCTTTCACTGCCTTGTCTTGAAGGCAGATACCAAAATTTTGGAGGAGCATGCTGCCTCCATCAGGGTTGAAGTGAGTGGGATGAAGATGCAGTTAGGTATTCTTACCATACCCACTTTGACCCTAAATGGAAACCCATGACTTTCAGGTTCAAATATAGTAAATTGGTATAGGATTTCTGAAGTGCTGTCATTTCAAATGTTTCTTCACAAATCAATTAAAATGGGATAGTTAACATCTTTGTTAATGTGCTTGGATAATAAGACCTTTCACAAAAAGAGTGCTCCCATTGTAAACTAGATGTCTGGTCACCCAGCCTTGAAAGTAAGTTCCTTTACTAATGTGGCCACCCTAATTTCTGATTGTAAACTAATTAACTGTAGTGCTTACTAATGCTCTATTTAGTTTGTGCACAGTTTAAACTTAGAGCTTAAAACTGTATCTCAATAATGTAATGCTTTTTACTTCTAAGAATTTTGATTTTTACAACAATTTAATTGTAGAAATCTTTAATGTCATAAATATTTTTAAACTCAGTTTATTAACACTTAGTCTGATAATTAACATGTAGTAGAACTTGATGCAGAAAATGATAACCCTCATTAGACTTTTATTGAGTTGATTACAGTCATGTAAAATATAACTTACATGAATCATGAACTTGTTCTGCCCATGCAAAATGACTTAGAACAGGATTACAATATATGTTAATTAATTTCATGGAAGTCCCTCATGAGAAGCTCAGAGTTGGCCACCTAGTGACAAAATTCCTTGTGTTTTATGCACCTTGAAGATTACTATGTTTATAGCCTGCAATTAGATCTTATTGTATATTAATTAATGACATATAGTGCATTCCTAATTATCTATGCTAATGAAGGGGGAGATGTAAACAAATAATGCAGAAACACAGATAACTGAAGATGTTGTCAAGTATGGAAATTAGAAAATGTATGCATAGCATTCGATTTATTTAGTTTTCCTGAAAACCATAAGGCTTTCATTAAAAGTGTACTGAATACATAATTGTGCTTTAATATTTCTGCACATCTTTTGTTCAGAACATTTTCCACTTATATAAATTTGTTAAAATTGCCTGATTAAAAATGGAAACAAAAATAACTCAACATTTTTCCATAAATTTCTCCAGGATTAAATATGACAAAAAATATGTCCAGCCATTCATAATTTGTTTCATGTGGACAGACTGGCAGGTGAAGCGAACTTAACAGGCACTCTGCAGGATTTCATATGTACCTAGAAAAGTGCATGTCCACAGATATTGGGCATATGCTATATAGTAGAATGCTGATTATCTGTATTGCCAATTAATTGAATCACTGCAACCAAGAAATGTGGACTCCTCCACTTGCTGAGTTGGTCTTTTTAAAATAAAATATTTGAAAATGTTAATTTATATTTACATCCATTAACGTGTCATATTTCACGTGTTGTTAACGTTTCATATTTCACGTGTTGTAAAAGTTTTTTTGTTTTAATTATTATAATAATGCTTTTTTGTGGACAAGAATTTAATCCAGTTGTCCTAATTACATTTGTCACTAATTAATTCAGATAATAGGTGTTCTATTGTATCTGCTAGCTAATTAGTACAGGTTCTTACTACCTCATCTAAATTAGCTACAGGGGCCACCCAGCCTCCTGTCCAAGGGGTACTGTGGACTTCCCCCTGGGATAAAGGGACTAGAGTGTGAAGCTTACTCCTCACCTCCATCTAGTGCCAAGGTGAAAAAATATGTGTACCTTTACTTCCACTCCCCATCCTTTTTCAGTGTGTTATGACAGCTTTACCTTTAGAAACGCCTGTATATCCATATTTTCACTCTAATATTACATGGACATATGTGTGGTTTGAGATTCATGTTTATACTGACTCTAGATAGGATTATTAAATTACAATACTCTGATCATTGGTATAATTCAATTCAATTCAATTCAATTCTTTATTATTAATGTGCCGAGTCAACAGCCGCAAGGCCAATTACAGACTCAGCACAGTGTAGATGACTGAATTACATTACATACAAACTTATTAGAAGTCAAATACAAAATACAGTTAAGTAATTGGAAGAAATAATAACGAATAAATGTAAAAGTAAACAAACAAATAAGCGATAATTATAACAGTAATAATAATTCCATTATCATTAAACTAAGTGCTATTACGAATAGAGGAATGAAACATTTTATTCTTATATTGAAGTAGATCCAATTACAGAGCGAGAAACAAGTTGTCACATCACTGGATATACAATGCATCAAAAATCAAAACAAATGTTCCAACCAATCACTGGAACAAGTTAAAATAACATAATATAAAACGTAGACAACACAGTCACTAAACATAATAAAATGTGACTACAACAAGACTTAATACTAGATGAAAACATATTAACCTTTTATCTAATAAAATTCATCCAGTTTATAAAAACAATGCATATGAATGGATATTCTCAATAAACAACACAATATAAAATAATAATAATTTATTTACATCCATAACTGTAAAATATACAATAATATACAATAATGTATGTTACATCACTCACACATCAAAAGAAAAACTATAAAAACATCTAATATGCATGAACAATAAATGGAATAAATAACATCTCTCAGAAGTGTACTAAAAATTATGGTAATAAATACATTCATAAATAAATAAATTCATAAAACAACAAAAGATTGTATGTTAAAATAAATAAAAGTCATAGTTGGTATGTACGCAGATCTAAAATAGACGATTATTTATATACATTTAGTTAGTTAATAGGACTTGTTAAGGTTAATTTTAGATACTATTTATAAGAACCAAGATCACCCCTTGTGTTCCATTCATAATATTCATTTAAAGAATAAAATGAACCAGCAAGAAGAAACTCTTTTAGAGCCTGTTTGAATTTAGTAATATAATTTAATAGACTCCTGATGCCTTGTGGTAGATTATTGAATATCCTAATTCCTGAATAATATACAGCCTTCTGCACTTTAGCTAATTTATTACTTGGAAAATGTTAGTCAAAACCTTGTCTGGTGTTAATCCTGTGTATAGCAGAATTAAATTTAAATATAGCTAAATTCTTAACAACAAAAATTGATACGGAACATATATATTGAGAATATAAGGGCAGAATATTTAACTGCCTGAACAATGGACAAGAGTCCTCATTTCTTGCCTTCATAATAATTCTCACTATTCGTTTTTGGATTTTAAAAATTAAATTACTATGAGTTGAATTGCCCCAAAATATTATTCCATATGACATAATGGAATTTACATATGCAAAATAAATCATCCTTAAACTCTCGTGAGTCATGCTTTCAGATCTTACCTAGGCACTTTCTGATGAACTTACAGACCCATGATAAAAGACCTATCCAGGATAACTGTAATATTTGACATGCAACCTCTAGAATGTGGAGTGAATATGCAAAATGAATCATTAACCCAGTTTGTCAAAAAATTAAATATTATAATGAAATTATTATTACAAGGTCAGATATTATCATGTGAACTATTCACAGAAATAATCAATACATAACACTGATTTTACCCACTGACTGTTAAAGTTGTGATCATGGAGATTAAGATGGGATGGGAATACAGAATGCATAGAGCCAACATGAGTAATCAAAATCTTGATAAGAAAGCTTTTTGAGTGAATACCAAGTCATATGTAAGATGATTACTTTAACTCAGTCTTTGAAAATAGCTCACATGGGGTGGAATTCAATAGCAGGATTCTGTTATTCCTGTGAGGAACCTTCTGATTTTGTTAAACCAGGAAATGCAGTCAGATTTAAATTCTGACATTATTATTACTAAAATGATCATTATAAATACTGAGAAAGATATTGGTTAATATTTTTCAGTGATAATGGCATCTTGAAATCCGCATATTACATTTGGCTGATATGAAAATTAATATAAATTTTCAGTGATTTATATAGGCCAGAAGCAATCGTTATTAAAATCTTCATGGTATATATGCAAGTACGAGTAATATAATAATTGCAGTGTCCTATATTCAAGGCATTTCTGTATATTTTTAATTATTTCAGGATTTCTCTTGGAAGAAATTTTCTGCTTTTATTGTTGTTTGCATGAAGTGAACCTGATATTTAACTGGAGAAGTATACCACAGCATTGCTTTCCTTATCACATAAGAGAATTTCATATTGATATGTTACATCTGAAAAATACTGTAACATTTTTTGTAAGGAACAAAGTAACAGAACTGTGGAGTGTACTGCCATTTATGAACTGGCCAGTAGTAACCTTAATGAACTGTGAGAGATCCAATTAGGAATTTTGTGTACTGCATTATTCATTACACTCCTTTCAATCTAGTTATATACTGTGTATTTAATAAATGTACAAGACTGTAATCTGGATAGCTGGCCTTTGGAAAGTGAGTATATTTTATTCTAATGGCATTCCTATTTGGTAAAGTGATTCATGTTATTAAAATTAATATTCCAAGACTTGACTTTTTCCTCCCATTATTACTTTTAGCACAAAGCAAATATGGCGTGAAACAGGTGAAACACAATTGAATTCCCTTTGTATGTAGAACGTTAAATTATATTACTTACTGACGTAGAGGTGTTTTCATTTCTGTTTCAGTGCATACATTCAGAGTCCCTATATGGACAGGCGGATTCTTCAGTTAAAGAAGAGCTAAAAAGTGATGAAATTCCACTAATGTGAAAAAATAAAACCTAACTCCACTTGTGTGGTGAGTTAATTAAAAAACCAGACTGAAATTAATATGTTATTAATCTCAGCTAAAACCACTAGTGAAGCAACAGCTGTGCTTGACTATTGTTTGTTACTGCCAAATGCGTAGTAGAAAGGTACCAAGTGCTCCGCACCAAATACTGTGGTTGATGCATGCAAAGTAAACAGCTAGCTGCATCTGATCCATGACCTCAATAGGTCTTCCTTCTAATTCAGTCCTCAGTTGCTTTATGAATAATGCAAAGAAATGAAAGAGCTTTCAGAAAAAAGAAGAGATCCTCCTCCTTAAGGAATGTACTTATATAGTAGATACTGGTATTATTTCTGTTTTTCCATTTGACTTGGGAAGTTATATAATTTTCCAGTTACTTTCAGTTGTTTCACTACCGCGGTATTTTATACTTGACATCTCAGAACTGTTAGTTGATACTGAGGACATTTTTAATATTGTGTATACTGTGACTGCATTAGCATAGAAGATAGAATACAAGTTGTTTCAATAAAGTTTTAAACATGAAGAGTTATTTGTTCTCCATACCAGTTTTATATGGATATGATTTGTAGTGAAATATTTAACTTACATTGATTAAGCTATCAAATGTCTGCTGCATACAGACTGAAAGTTTTCTATATATTAATGTAAGATTGGAAGTTCTGGACCTCTAACATAATTATTTCAATTTCTGTAGGGTTGTCTATCAGCCTACTTAGTGTAAAGAGTTTGAGTTATTTATGCTGCATCAAATTACTTGAAACTATATCAGAGACTTGTAAATTTATCTCCAAATCTTCCTTCATACATACCTGTATGACATGTTACATATTACAAATTATTGCGGCTGATGGAACAAGTAAATAACAGTAGAGCTACATTAATAGTTAGGAAGCAATCATCCTGGCAACCCTACATGTTCCACTTAATTTTTCTGACAGCTGCAGTTTTGTTTGAGTTCATTACAAACTTCATATTAGTAATTATAAGCTCACAGTGTGTCAGTGATGATTTACATGTTTTAGTTTACAAATGGGACCATGGTATTTTTAGGGGAAGAATAAGGGAAACTTATTATATTAATAAAGAGCCACAGTTACTACGAGTGAATGGGCAGCATGTAACACACTGTGTTATTTTGAGCAGCTCCTCCCCTCTTTATCTTTCTTTAGAAAGGGGACGATACCACTTTCGTTTCTGGTTCATACATTGCATTCTCAATGTCTCCCTCCCTGAGTGTGTCGACCACCCTCGATAGCACTTGACACCCCACGTTTATCCCCATCGGTAGCTTATTGAATTCAAAGAGCCCAAAGGGGGTACAAAAGAGGGTAGCCCTCCTGAACTTAGCTGACAGAGGGATCTGGTAGTATGTCAAGTTTAGGTCAAGCACCGAAAACACCTTCGCGTTATGAAAATCAGCGAAGTCGTGCTTGATTGTCAGCATTGGGAAGGTGTAAAAAACTACCCTTTTATTTAAGAGCCGATAATCTACCACCATCCTATACCCACCCTGGGGTTTCCCTTCTTCATCCACCTCTATTTCTAAGAACTTCTTCAGTATATTCATGTTCACTGATTTTCCAAACCTGTAGGGTGCTGTTATGAGAATTTTCTTAATTTATTCTGTCTCACCTGACTGTTGATTAAACATTCTTTTATGAGCAAGGTTTTGTCAATAAATGCTGATACACTAAAATTTTCTGATGAGACTTCAATCTTTAGCAACTCTGGTGAAAAACATCCACTGATGCCAGGTGTACCCGCTCCAGTACCTTTGACATCAACAGTTTCACTGGTAGTAGATAGGTCTCTTGCAACAGTTGTACTAGATGGGCTTCCTGTACCATCTTTAACTTCCTCTATCCTTGGTCATTTGCTTGGAGGTTCTCCCATCACAATGTTTATTCTCAGTATTAATCCGAAGGGGAGTTGCCACCATATAATTCGTGTAATTCATGAACCTGAAACTTCTTCATAACTTTAACAAGAATTTATAACCCGCCCTTTGCCACACGTTGGATGCCACTTCTTTCTAACCACCCCATGGCCCCTACCTTTGGTGCCACCTCTTTATAATCGCTCTTCGCCCAATGTTGCTGGGTGCCACCTCTTTATAATCATCGTTTACCCACCTTTGGTGAGCCACTTCTATTTCTAACCGCCCCTCACTCACCTTCTTTACCCCTTTAGCTTGCCATTCATTCGTCACTCCTTTCCTTTGTTCTTCTTCTTCTTTGGTTGGGCAACAGTAAGCTCAACTGGTGTCAGCTTACAATAATTATGGGATTAATTAGGAAAGGGAGGTAAAGGTGATAGGTAACTAGTTCAGCTGTAGGTAAAGTTGAGATTCTTCATCAGATCGTTTGATAAGGGTCTCGCTTAGACAGAGGAGTGATTAGCGTGATGCTACTTTTGCACTTGAAAACAGTGATCATTTATTAGCACTTTTACTCACTCGATAACACACACAGTTAATATAATGGATACCTGTACATAAGTCCTTATATATAACTTTAGTCCTGGTACACTAGAAGTTATCAGAATAGTTTACACGTTGGCTTGTTGAATTTAAGCTTTGTCCCGAACAGCGGTGATACAAATTTTGCATCTAAACAGTTCACGAGTTGGCAGACAACTGAATTCAATGATTGACTTCCTTGAAGACCCTTAGGTCCCTGGTCATCAATTCCTCAGTGAAGTCACTCCCCCTAAATTCCACTCATTGGGTAATTTTGAAATCTAGGAGTTCACACAATTTTTGGATCTCCAATCAGCTAGCTGTAGTGCGGGATTTTGATCCTTAAAGGCCTAATGTCGTTTTTGACAGCTCACTGATGGATAACCCACTTGGCATGGGTCTCCAGCATGCCCCCTTTTAAGTTATGATGTTCTGGAACTGTTAAGAGATCGTATTCTCAAAGTTTGCTGCTGTGTTACTCGCAGACAAAATTTCTATGAAAAAGTCACAGGGGTGCTTCCTGTGCAACAGTAAGACAGGGAATAAGTCAATTCCTGCAAACAAGAAGGTGGCTATGTCCAACTGGCTTGACTATCTTGCTATCTGAAATTAATTCTTGTAGTAAAGATTTTAATTATACTTAAAAATAGTGCATGATAGTGGAGTGGTTACAGATTTCACCATTTGGTATTTGCAATGAATAAGAGTCCGTTTCCTTCTTGAATAGATAGAAGTATCCACGGTCCTTTAGATATAGGAGGAACAAATCAACATCATATGCGCTAGCAGAATTTGTTATTAACTTATTTAGATCTCTGATATGTTTGGGAGTCAGTCTGCCCACAGGTTCTATTGTAATGAATCCAGTAGGACTATTTATCGAATCATAGATTTTGTCTCGAATATTTTCATTTCCAAACAGCTTCTCTGATTCCTTAATGCCATGATTTTCAACCCAATAGCTTTCTGGCTTGTGCTTTTATCTGGACTCTGCCCAAATTCCTTTTTTTTTTTGAGAAGCCCTAGTCCAATTACCAAGGTGCATTACAAGAGAATAAACACTGTATATTTTAGTGCCTCTCTCCGAAACTCTGTATCCTTTGTAGTATTCTAGAAGTGCTTTTTCATTAAACCCATTGAACTGAGACTTCTTGAGTTACATTTCTACTTCATGTTCTGTAAATCCATAGAATTCAGAGAACTCATTTTTTTCTAGGAATGCACACTTTTTAATATTGTTTGCATCTGATGACAGTACTGTTGACAACAGAATACAAGCACTGATTAGTCCACCCAACACATGTTCATTCTCTTTCATCACACTAGAAATCATGCTGCAAATAAACACAGTCACTTTCTTAATGTAAGACAATCCTACATCTTCTGAGCTGTGTATTAATTTCATAATAGGTTCATCAAATTCATCTATTAAAATAATCACTTTCCTGTTAAAATGATTGTAATCATGCACCTACTGTTTATCTAAAGTTCTAACTTTGCTTTCATGAGCATAATTACAAAAATTTTCTATTTCATCCTCCTCCAAGTTCTTAGATGCTCACAAGTACATGTGATGTACAAATACTTTGTTCAAAACTCGCAAATATAACAGGATGTTGACCACAATGCTCATTCCTCCCCTCTTTATCTTTCTTTAGAAAGGGCATGATGCCGCTTTTGTTCCAGGTTCATACGTTGCATTCTCAATGCCTCCCTCCCAAAGGTAGAATGGGGTGTCCAAGTTGCAATCTCAAGCAAGGATAGCCAGAAAATCTCCAGATAACTAAATAACAAATATTTAACACAACAAAATGAATCAAAATGGACAACCCAAATACAAACTCTACTCACGATGCCCCAAAACTGACGTCGCATAGTTTGGGGATCCCTCGCCGTCAACAGCCTGTAGGGAAGAAAAGATGAAAACAAACCTGAATTTTGGAAAAAAGAATCTCAAGACAGAATTCCACCCACCTATCATGTCAACAGCGAGCCACTCCCTCTTGGAAAATTCTCACAAGGGATACAATTACACANATGGGTGAACAAGGGAGGGGGGATGCAAGCCCTCCACCACGAGTAGGAGAAACCAACTAAGCATGCTAGAAACATCTGGATGGGAGGGGGATAACATGAGAGACTGGAATGGGTGAACAAGGGGGAGGGGGGATAGGAAGAGAGGCCACTTAAACGAGCCATGAGTAGAAAACATGGCTCAGTTTTATGTGACTGGTTATATTTTGCAGATAATTTATGGCATTACTGATGTCCATTTTTCTCTGATATCTATATTTTATATATATATATAATTTTGACACCCTTTGTATATCATCTTGTAAGGGTATCTATCTGGAGAGTGGCTCAAGGCGATCTAAGTAAGTATACTGATCTCAGCCAGTTCTCTCCCATTCCCATTGAAGAAAGTGGCAGAACTAGCTGTTTTTGGCTGTGTAAGGGGTAACTACCTATTTATGAAATCAAAATCACATTATGAAATTGTAGAGAAACTTGAAGTTCTAATGTCCCTTGGTCTCTGACATTTATGCATATTCCTGGCTTCCATAGTACTCTAATTTGTCAACAAAAGTAAAACAAAACAGTAAAACTTTGGGTGTCTAATTGAATTTCATATCTACAAAAAATATATAACATATATGAACACAAATTTAATGATTTATATTTCCTGCACATCTTCATCATGAGGTAGGGAATGAAATCAGTCATCATCGTTTCCATGAAGATAGGTGCCTAAATGTTATGAACACAAGAGTTAATGTTATTTTAAGAGTTTATTTCTGCTAGAGTATGGTTTTTTTTAATTAAGTGGAAACTTTATTAGGATTTAAGTATATTTTAATATATTCCAGCCAAGACAAATGGTTATGTGGTGAGAAACGGAACTGTTCATTCAACAGTACGTGTTGCCATGTGGCCTCTTCATTCTGTTTGTTAAGCAGAGACTTCACCACTCTCACAGTTTAGATAATCGCTTGCTTCTGTCAGAATATAAGGCAGTTATTGAGTGCAGTACATACTAGTATGACAGATAAAGACACCATGATGAAGTTTTTTAAATGTGTATCTCTGTATTTACATCAGTGCTCAAAACAAATAGAATTCAGTACCCATCAACTTTTCCAATATCTTGAAGTGCAATGCAGTCGTAAGATGAATTGTAAGTTTAAATACAACTTCGTCTTTGTGTAAAATTATACATGCATTTTGTGTTTGTGTTTCAAATAGCAGATAATTTGAGTACAGTTTTATAAAATATTTCAAATTTTAAGGTAAATTTTAAGAAATATATCAATATTTTGTTTAGATTGATTATATATTTTTAATTGTAAAATAATATATATTTTATGCATTTGTCTGAGACACAAATGCATTAACCATAAATGGTCTCTACTGATATCTGTGGTGTGTTCAATAAGAGAAAAGAATTGGTTTTAAACGAAAGGATAATTTTTATGAATCATATACATAGAAATCTGTGTGTATGATAAAATGTCATTGGAAAACCATTATCTTGGAAGTGATGGGGAAGATCAGAAGAATGTTAACTTTTTGGAATCTATACCTACCATTTTCTATTCTGAGCACTGTAACTGAAGAGAAAACATGTTCATGAAAGAGAGTTGGTGACAGATGTAAAGTTTCTTCATGAATGATAGATTCAACCTAGAAATCTTGTTATCAGTGTGGTTTCTGAATATATGTGTGTAACCCTGTACAGAAATACCAGTGTGATGAGTGACAGTGATATGAATGAGCACAGCAGTAGATTCAGCTGGAAGAGAACAATATTTTGTATATTTTAAGTAGTTGCTTGAAATAATTATTGTATTATTGTTGTAATTGGTGCTTTTGGTATTATGTAGTAGTAAATATGAATTGTTATAATTAAAATATTTATTAACACATTTCATTGGATTTATTACAATTTTATTATGCACCTGTTATAATCAAAAAACTGTATGAGACAATGGGATTGTTCCAAATCACTTTCCTGCCATAAATTCAATTTGTTGAATTTCATACTTTACTATTCTGACAACATTTAAGTCAGTAAGAGGAAAACTTTATGCATATTTAACATCAGTAATGTTATTTTACTTTCTTCATATTTTGTATTTTCGTGATTAAATCTGTATGTTAATATTTCAATGTAATATAAGAAACTTGAAAATTGTTTCTACACCAATAATAAGACATGTTGAAAAGATTCACAGTGAAAATCTTCATGCTGTAATGTACTTAGGTTTTACTGTCAATAAATGCTTTTATTTATGTTAAATAGGCTTTCAATTGTTAAGTAATACAAGAACTGCAAAACTTTCAGTCTGCGAAGCAAGATACTGAGTGAAATGTTTACTTTATACAAGGAATCAATCCCCAGACTTCAGCTTCCTGAACATGTTTACTTATTCTGGGTCATGAATTATTTTCATCTTTTAATAACATGAATGATATGCTTATGTAATAAAAATTGTCATTTTGCAACATCTCATTACATTTATACTTGTACATTATTATGTCTGTTGCAATTTATGTTTTGGGGTGCCAGAGATTGGCTCTTTGGGCCTACATTTGCACATTCCTGTTAAATTACAATCCTTTAGTATAATACTCGCCTATATGACATTAATATTTTAACTTACACATACTCTGTTGCTACCCCTGTTGACTTACTACTAATCTAGATTAATTTACAAATCACTCTCATTCTTTATTATTACCTTTTCCCATTTCTTTTTATATTTATTCATATTTTCTGTCAATGCTCTTTATTCTTCATCTTGCTATCCTCCTAATATCTATTTCTGCATCAATATTTCTAAATTCCTCTTGCCCAAAATCTGGTCCTTCCAAATCATTGTTCATTCTTATCTCAATATGTGGCTCCAGTCTTCTCACTGCATATGGGATGGATCTCCTGTTCGTTGTTCCTTCTAATCCCCTTCAGTCTCCAAGCTCTGATTTTCCACCATACACTTCATATCTGGGCTTCACTTGTACATAGTTCTATAAACTCCTTCTCCCAGTTGCTCATTAAACTGCTGCATAATGTTAGTGTTCCCTTTCTGATTGTAGCCTCAATATTTTGCCTTTTATAGCAACACATCTTTCTCTCATTCTTATCCAGACTTCCTTATTGTTATTCCTTCCATTTTTCCAGGTATCTCCCATGCCCAGCCTTTCCAGTTTCTCTGTAATTCTGCTCATCCAGTTGGTTGCTCTCATCTTTTTGTTGTGTATTGTTTTCCTTAATGGATTTGTCTCATCTTTTTCCAGCAGTCTTGACCAATATTTCATCACTATCTCTCTCATACTTTTTCCTTTCAGTTTCTCTTCCCAAGTTCCTTCATGCAAGCACCATTCGCTGATGTCAATGATACCCTCTTTTCTCTTATAGAGAACTCATACATTTCCCTACTTCATTCCATCCATCCTCCATTCCATCACCCTCTCATCATCCTTGACTCTAAATGATATAATGATACAAATTCCGTCCCAAGTGCAAACCATATATTATGTGTCCTTGATCTTGTTCCTCTACACTACATGTTTCGGCCTCAGACGGCCATCATCAGGTGTATAACACTCACGTCGCTGTCACACTGCACTCAGCCCAAAATTTAACATTTAAAACACTTTCCTTGTTATTATCAACATCTACTTCGTTGATATCTGTCTGGTTTGTAGATTATTTTACACACGTTAATTTTGATGTACCTGTAGTAGCACTATAAAATCTTTAGTTCTAATTTTAAAACCCTTTAAAATTTTTTTTCTCTAAATTTTAAAATTTAGAGAAAAATTTTTTTAAGGGTTTTAAAATTAGAACTAAAGATTTTATAGTGCTACTACAGGTACGTCAAAATTAACGTGTGTAAAATAATCTACAAACCAGACAGATATCAACGAAGTAGATGTTGATAATAACAAGGAAAGTGTTTTAAATGTTAAATTTTGGGCTGAGTGCATTGTGACAGCGACGTGAGTGTTATACACCTGATGATGGCCGTCTGAGGCCGAAACATGTAGTGTAGAGGAACAAGATCAAGGACACATAATATACTGTTTGCACTTGGGACAAAGTTTGTATCATTATATCATTTATCGTATGGAGTTCAACAGGATGCTTAAATATAATATCCTTGACTCTATTGCACATTATATAATCACTCTAATAATCTGACCTCTATATTTCGTGCCTGTGCTAAACATATGCTAATATTATTCAGTGCTAATTTCCTTGTAATTGATACCGGTTTCCTCTCCTTTTCCCATTTTCACTTACTCTCTAAAATTGCCCCTGCATATTTGATGCTGCTTGTTACGTCAATTTCCTAGGTTCCAAAACTACTCTTTTTTATTCTTACTTAATTTCCTTGCCTTGTTAAACACTTCTGTCTTTATCTTCTCTAAATTTGTCTTCATCTTTCATTGCTTGTGAAACTCCTGTAAACAAATAATTACTCCATGATTTATTTTATCCGTCTTCTAGTGCATACATTCATCTGTCCCCTCTTCTCACTCTCACTACATGTTTCGGCACAAATGTGCCATCTTCAGGTGCTGATCCNGCGTAATGAAACAC